ACGTTCGTAGTAGTAGACCGTTATAGTCACAGCAGCAAAATGCTCGCGTCCCCTCCAAACGACATATAACTCTTCTTACAGGCCATTATATCAAGTTCAGATTATAGTTATTTAACTATTGTACCATAGTATCTTATAGTTGTTGAGCGACATAACTTTATAAGCAATAGCAACGCGCGGATGACGTGCCGGTGGTCCCACGCCGGTGGTATATTCCTTCTCAATTAGAGCGTATAATATATGTTACAAAATGCTCATTCATACGCCACATACATGATAAAGCATCATGAATTAAGCAACGGTTTCATCTTTGCCACTGTGTGAATAGCGGTGCTTCTCAATTCAATAATATATGATGATTATTTTGACAAACTGTGATAATAGCTCTTCAAATAAACATGCATTTATCAGTGTTTACTTTTTTTTTACACTCACACTACCCATCATTTGGTATATAAATTCTGTATCTAAATTCGGCCATCCAAATCGAATCAAACCTATTCGAAGAGGAAGGACGTAATGCGGAAGTACGGGATAATAGTTCCACAGTCATCACGGAGCACTAAGGAAACGGATGGGCTGAAAGTGGAGGTATTTGCTCGGAAGCACTGCATCTGCTTGTATAAGTGATCTCTAGGAACAAAAAAGGTCAGTAAGGTAGCGACACGAACGTCGGAAGTAATGTATAAGTGACTCACACGAGCCAAATGAAAAAGCAAGCTCCGAAAACACTGTCATCAATATTTTTGCTCCTAACGAAACCGTAGGCATTTGGAATCTATAGGAGGGGCTGAATCGGCTTAGGCGAAACACACGGGTTACCGAGACTATATAACGGACAGTCACTCTTGAATAAATAGGTATCGAGGACTGCTAGTGGGAAAAACGTCTAAGACACATTATGAATTATTTGTAAAATAGCATCTAGGAAAAAACTACGAGTGAACTAAATTGAAGATCATTACCATAAGCAACGATAAATTAAAAACGTCTGAAGAAATTTTCTGGCTTCGGCAAAACTATAATCTAAAGACAAAGTCATTATCTAGCTGTCCGTGCATACGACACGAGAGCTACTAACGATTCGGGCTGTTCATTATCAGAATTTTCTTCATTCTATCACCCGGCCCTCTTCAACCTTGTTCGACTCTAGGCACATATTAAACAACTAAAATACAATGATCAGTACGTTGCGCACGTACTTGTCTATTGTAAACACAGAGAAATTCTAAGAATCTGCTTCTACTTACTCCGTTCTGTATTTGAGAGTTTTCCTAATCGAGCGTCCATGATTAAGTGGCTTTAGTTTAGAGTGGAGAACCCTAAGTCGGATCAGAGTGGACGAATTTCATTGTGCATTAGATCAAGCCTGCTACATAATTTCGACTAATTTTCACATATTTCAATATAATATGTAGGTATATATAGATAACAGTTGCAATCTTGACGATATGCCCCCGTCGAATTGACACACATGAAAAAGGCAAATCAATATGCAATTGCTTTTCGACAACTAGCAAACAAAATGAATTTTCCGTCAATGTACTATTAAGACTTTTTTTTTTCAAATATTATTCATACAATATTTGCTATTTTCATAAATTTATAACTTTTTGGAAATTCATCGATTCTTAGGTACATGAACGTTGTGAAGGGCGTAAGCCGCACGCGAATGGTGTACTAATGAAAAAGACTTTCTTTTGTTTTCTTAGCTGGTTGTTCATTGCATTGAAAAGCGGTACCATTATTGTAGATAGCACTGTTGTAGTGGCTTGTTTTACGCTTTGGGCATTTGATATGGTAGAGCCAACTTCATCGTAAAGGCCCTATTTCTAGTACTAACACTGAATGATCTATAGAAATGCACAGTGTCCAATGTCGTCGTAAACAAACCGCTTGCGGCCGCATATGCACTTGGCCATTAAATACATATGAATGTAGCTTATAGAGAATGGGTTGGGGCTTTTGTGTGATGTCTAGAGGGGGTCAAAGCGTTCTGGACGGGGTAAAGGCCCAACACCGAGACCCAACATGAGCAACTTTAGACCGTCTTGTTCACGTTGCTACCGCTGAATTCAAAAACTGAATTAAGGAAGCATCAGAGCCGCAGCGATTGTCGTAACTGTGGCCTTTCACCTATGCATTGGAGATTCATTGCTAATTCGTATAATTTATGGCTAGAAATGAGGCAGTATTTGATCGTTTTCAAACCTCTAATTTTCGTCGAGCACATACTTGGCAAATGCTCTCGCAATAGTTCGTCTTGTGCTTTATCGATTTCATAACAAATGTGCTCGATAGCAGTAGGATAGTGGACAATCGTTTTGAGACACGCGCAAAACGTTACTAGACGTCACGTTAAAAAAAGATCGCTAAAAATACAACGGTACGACGACATTTTTTAGGATGTTTCCTGGTCGCGAAAAACGTTACGCGGACAACAACGTATTTACGTTACAACGTGAGGTTCGTGCTATTTGTACGATGTATTCGAAACTTGTCAGAATGAAAACTTAGAACTTAACATCTTTCGACAAAGACCCTTATCACAACGAATAGCACCCCGAAACATTTCCTAAATCACCCTACGTTAGAATAAGAAGGCCTTGAGAACTTTACTTACCTGCTTTAATATTGACTAGTTACCGTAGAAATAATATAGAGTAAGTTTACTGGCTGGCTGCAAAATCATCAAAACTAAAAACGATGCACATATAACATTTTTGACGAACTTATTAATGTCAGCTAGCTTTGACAACCTTCAAACGACTAAGTGACTGTGCTGGTCTTGTAAGTGAGATAGTGTTGCTTTACTGTTTTCTGTCGATCATACTCGGTAGACTTTGTGGGCAACCCTCAATTTTACGCCTGATCGGCGTTGCCCCATGCTGCCAGACAGACCTTCCCCCTCTTCGCTGGCATTTATTTTTCGTCTTCTCCTTTGCACAAACGACGAAATACGTCTAATTCCATATAATCTAGCGGCAGCAGTAAACGTACGAGTAGTGGTAGGAAAACAAAGCAACAATACGGGATGCTGAGTTTATGGCCCTGGTATTAGGATGAATTCAACTTCCGTTTAGAGGACAGCAATGGTAGCGGCACAGCGAATGAGACAGCGGAAGGTACTCAACGAGAGAAAAATGGGTTAGTGCGCCTATCGGAAAGAGCAAATAGAAGCGATCAGAACAGTAAGTGAACAGCAATAGATGGCTTCATAGGCGTTTCTCAGGTTGACTCAAGGCGCGCTACCGCAAGCAGCACGAAGAACGGATATAGTAATGAGGCGACGACCGCGAGTAACGACACGAAGAGGCCGTGTTCCTTCATTCCGCTGCGACAAACACCAATTTTCAAGTATCCCCTTACAGGAAATGCATCTATGACGTACGGGTGGGCGGGGGAACGGGGTTAGCCGGGAGCTAAACTGGAAGTGGCTCTATATATACGTGCATATGTAGCGAATTGGTTGCGCCTTTTTAGTAAGAAGCAAATGTGGCATTGCAACTACATGAATATGACACATATATTTAAAGTGGCATATGTAGTGGGCAAGCAATACTTTTTAAGGTCTGTTTTTCAAAACAGAATTTACCGTAGACGAAAAATAGTATTATCGTTATAGCGCTGTCTTCTCTGCATTGAGGACAACGATTCTGGGGCGACTATTGTGAACTCCGCCCATACACATATATATGTACGATATACACAATGTACTTATTACATCGTTTTTAGTTATGGGTGCAGCGTCTGTAACTTGAACGTGCATTAAGCTATCTTGTGATGGCTTTCATTAACACCTATTTTGACAGGCGATGATAACTTTCGACCGTACTCCCAACCTCTTTTACCGTAACAAGATATGGCACCATTCGGCAGCTGCCACAGGATGTAGGCAGCCGGCATTCACCTAATAATATTTGTAGCACGCATATCGTCAAGGCCTATTCACACTTCTAGATAAAGGCCAGTACGTTTGAGCAATAGTCTCTCCTCCCATCAGAACTATGGTTGAGCCTGCCTGCCTGCCTGCCTGCCTGTCTGTCTGTCTGTCTGTAGCGATAGCATCCTCTGGACGAACCCGCGGCGAAAGCATACACAGGTATTATATGAGAGGAACTATGTTATGAGCGCTATGAGGATTTTCGCAGCGGAGTGTAAGTGTCGTATGCACGATTCTGTATTTAGCCCGTTAACTATATTTCTTCAGTAAAGGGAAAGAAAGACTCTAAACGAAAGTGCTGGTTTCTTGGCACCAGTCTGTATATCTAATTCATATTTTCCTACGACGCCCGTTACCGCAACGCACGAAATGTCGAAGATAGGAAAACGACTAGCGAATTTCCTGAGCTGCTCTCGTGAAAAATGCGCCCAAAAAACCTCGACACCCTTATACGAAACGTCGTCAGGAAAGCTATACGTCTAGATGATCACCGCTAATGTGAAACGTTTAATGAGGTGGAAAATCAGCGATCCATGTAAGATGCTGAAAAACTCGTAAATGCTAGACCGCTCTAATAATGCTTATTTGGGATAGTAAACATGAAGAATAATTAGATTAGAGAACAGGGTGAAGCTGCGTCAAATTTCTATTGAAGTCAGAATATGATGCCATTAGGCATCCTGTCGTCCGAGCATCATATGGATAAAGCTAAACGGTAATGATAATACATTTCAGGATTCGACGCACCAATTTGAAATGATGCGGAACACGACGGCATTACAGTTGGCTTCATAAGCATGGTGCCAACTATTTGCGGTACTCGATGCCTTTGGCCCATGGCCAAAAATGCCCAAGGTAGATATACCCCAACGGTGTAAAACCATATTGTACTCACACAAACTCCCCAAACATGGTAATACATACATATATATATATATATATGGCTGAATAAAGTAAATGTTTCTATTTACCCCGGCCGTGGAGAGTTGACTGCTACAAAACTCTGATCGACGAACGAATGAGAAACCGCACTAACCATAATAATTGAGTAGCATTATTTATTATTATGTAATTACTATAATACACCTATATTACAGTAACGTATACAGACGAACGCATTCTAAATGGAGACATTAAAAAAAAAAGAGACTGTTTGAAGAGCAAACAAAAAAGCTTTAACGGCTCGCCCGTTTTGCCTTAATGTTAATTAATTATAAGCCAGCCTCGCTGAATTAAAGATCATACTTCCATCTATCGGTCGAGTAGGACTGACACAAGTGCCAACTACGTAAGCTCCGCGGGAGGCTAAATGGATGCCTAAATCGTCAGGTTCGTTATTGTGAACCCTTCACGCCCATTAGGTTTAGGCATCAGCTAGAGTCCATCAAAGTATTTTGCATATAAATTTTGTCTGTTGTCTACGCCAAATGGTGTCCTTGAGCCGGCGCTTGATGTGCTGCCTGTTCACCCGTAATTGCTGACGAGACAAGCCTTACATCGGCTGGACTCTTCGACTCCGTTCCAATTTCATTCGTTTGAATCTCGGCCCGGTAACCGTTCTCGTCAGCGGTATAGTGCACTGTACGGGCGCGCCCGTCGGCCAGCTGTAATACGTGATGGAAGCTGTTAGCGATTGCAAACGGTAAAGATAAAACGCGATATCTGCCTTCTAGTTAGTTTGCTTAAGTTTGATACTGCCATTATTAGCCACGTTAGGTCAATGTCCATGCATAGGGCATTCATAGATTTATCGCGCATCACGCAATAGCGTCTAGCAAATAGACGCTGGGAATTGACTATCTAACTATGTATGTTGCTATTACATATTGGTTACACCCCTGTGACGATGCGCTCATCTAGGAATAGACTGCGTATGAAAACGAAATACGCGCGTAAATTGCTTCGAAATTTAGCGCGTCCAAACATGTATTATGTCAAGTTACACACGCAGGTAAATTGTCCTGCCCAAATCGAATGGCATTAATAGCAATAGACTGTACTACCTGAATAGTATAATGACCCTGCACTTGTCCCTGCGCATCACTCTGTTGACTATGACCATGGGTTCCTTCTTGATCTTGTGAAACGTAGCTGAATTCGTACGGCTGTGGGCGACCATAATCGTCTTGTGCGCCCCTGACCCTATGGCCTGTTAGCGGCTGGGCGAGGGCACACAGCGGTACGAGGACCACTGACACGGCGAACATGGACGCAAAATGCTACGGTGATAGGGAGGGCAAACACTTGCGTTAGAACATGAGCGACAGTTTAAACAAATGTTTAATGCGAGTATTTATAAATTAAAAGGTCCCGATTCAAAGGAGTTCGACAAGAACCTAGCGTGCAAATAGCAGCTCGGGCGAGCAAAATAAAAAAATCTAGAAGCTTCAGAACATATGAATGCGTCTGAGACGTGTAATGAGGTTTCTTAGGTATGTCCCCGTTGAGAGCATGTTAGCTATACCAGGTCATCGACGCGACTTCGTTCCTTTTTCGAAACAGAATGTCTTCTGAAGGCTGAAGCTTGCCAGATTTCGTCTCTCAGATAAAACCTCTAGAGCGCCAATCTGAAATATAGCGGCTGCGTTTTACCGCCTGAACTTAGGGTATCCTTGAGACGATTTAAGCCTTTAATTCACCTGTAGAAGTCACTCCTTACACTATGTAATCTGCGCGTCGATACTTCATGACCTGTCGATTGTAACGTCACTTGTAGAAGCCAAAGACCTCGCTTCAAGTTGAATATTTTAAACTCCTTGCTTGACTTAACCCAGTTCGTAATCTTTGTTCGGCCTATCTCGTCGAATAGGTTCGAAAAGCGTTTCTCTTATTGTTAAGGTCCGTATGGCGTTACCATTAACAACTCACCATATTCAAATGGCTGTACTTTAGCGCGATCAATAAGGCAGGGAACTCAGTACAACTCCGGTCCTTCTTTTTGTTCAGTTGTTCGCTTGTACGTGAACTTCCGTTTGGTTGAAGAATGTTAGCTTCGAGTTAAGGACGAAGATTTGTAGCTTGATGCTAGATAAAATAAAGTCAAACGCTCTGGCTACCACTAGACGCAAGCATTTGCATTTGTATGATTTCGCTTTGCTCAATCGGCTTGATTTATAGCGCTCAGTACGTCCACACTAGCTCGACAAAGTCAGAAAGGGGATGTCCTCGCCACGTTAGACGGCAATTGCGTTTTAGCTCTGTGTACTGGGCGACGTCCTCGCAAGAATCACACACAAGTATAGGCACAGCAGAAGCGTCAAGGGTAGAAAACTAATCCCAAGAACTGCTTCGAAATGGCCAGTTCACAATAGCTGTACTGCCATTATGGTCATCGCCTCGGTGGGCCATTACATCGATTCGGGATGATGCCTGTAACCATATCCAGCAGTGCACAACAACGTCAGCTTTCCACGAACTGTCATCGGCCAATCAATGCTCGTTTGCATGTGACTGATCGTGATGATTTTCTACTATTATTTCCCTTTGAAAGGATTCGTGTTTATATGTAGATGGATGCCAATAACCTTATTCATTCGAAGCTAAGCTCGGCTATCCACTTAAATGATTCATAGGTGCATTAATAGTTCTTCACCCCATTTAAGTTATAGCAATATGTACTATGGCAAAACGAATTTGGGCTTAACTTAACTAACACTGTTCAACTACTCGGCTTCTGGGGGGCGGGGTGAGGGGGTAACTTCAACGTTCGAGCTATTGCATACACGGTCGACGTCTGGATAATGTAGGTAGACAAACAAGTTTGCAATTTGTATAGGCTGACCCGAGCAAAAGTTGCAGAAGACGTCAGTCTTAATGACACTGTTTGGCCGTTTATTTTGATTTCTTACAAAATGACAGTGGGTTTGCCTCGTTCCAAATCACTGACATATGACGGTCACAAATAAATAACGGTTCTATTTCGTTACGAAATAAAACTTATCACTAAAAATTTGCATTCACTGAATGTATTTTCGTTTTTCTGTATATATAGTATATTATAGTTCTGCAGAGATACGTAAAGTCAGGCCAAAAATACATTAGATGAATAGGATTAAAAGGCAGTTAAGTGGAGCACATGAAATGGAACTAGATTACAGATTTTACTCGGTTATTCAATGAAGGCTACTACGCCTAATGGTACTAATTAAGCGTTCCTGTTCTTACTGAGCCCTCGCGAGGCGTACTGAAATCGTCACGATGTATAATTGTCTACGTTAATGTTTTTCTGCGCATTTATCATTAACATTAAGCAGAGTTCTTGGTTTCATGTTTGGAAAAGTTTTGACAATATTATGTTAGTTTCTATTTTGACAGCACTTGTAAATAAAATATCGATAATTTATTTCTAATTAAGGTTAAAAAAATTAGTAAAAACGTGCGTTTAATCCGAATAGAAAAAAAATTTAGCGTTCTTTTAATAAACTAGTGTATTAGTAGTAGAATACATTTCACATTCTCTTCAACAGATGTTAATAAGCAGCGGCTTGCCATAGAGCTTTAGCTATTGTATGCAAGGGCCTCGGCGCTGCGCCGTTTCTACGTCGTTCAATTCTATATAGAACCTTTGTGAGCTAATAGGTGTAATAGGCCGCACTTCAGAGACGACAGTTTTCTGATCCATATCGATCTCGTGCAGAGCACTGACATCGACTACTGATTTGTGTTGGTGGGCGAAAATCTAAGAATATGAGCAAACCTCTGCGATTCAAATTATCATTTTCGTCGTTTTCGTTTTCTGAGCTACAACAAAGCGAGGTTTTTTTCGAGCTCGGTACGCCATTCCGTCGTCCGTTTAGCGGTTAGGATTATACTGCTGTATGCGCCGAACCGTTAGCAAGCGAATACTGAAATAATCAATTACGTCGTCGTTCGACCATCGTCTAAATAATCTCATATGCATACAGATTAGATTTTCTCAGCCTCGAATCATTTGAATTATAAAAGACAATCGACATCAAGATTGTTTGAAAATTGTCGTCCCCTCGCCTCAACTTCCAGGATGGACTTCTTCACCCCTTATAAATGAATAGTAGGACAGGTATTCGGCATAAGGCTGGATGGCTACTTGTTGAAAAGTTACCGGAATAAACGCCAATTACAAACTCAAAAATCCTTGATGAGCATTATCGTTGCTTTTAACTCTGCAATGGGCCGATCCACGTGGCAGACGATAGAAAAGAACCTCAACGGGAAACAGATGTCATTTCATTAAGGTCCTGCAGTCAGTGAGCCCGCCGATACAAATAGTACTGCCGTGTGGAGAGGAACAAATGGCAGGAACTGACGACCCACGACCTATTGCGATTCAATCGCGTCAAAAAAAATTTGAAATGTGCAGCTTGATGAGCCGACTTTACCGCTTGCTATGTAACCTATTTCTTAGGTCACATGTGGTAGGTTTGAAAAGGCAAAGAAAAACAGATTATCATCGCAGCTGCAGAAAACGACCTAGCTTGTTTTCATCTCATTAAGATGTTCCTGCGCAAATATAAGTTTAACACCAAACAGGGGTTAAACAATGTCCACCTCGGCTTAGTTTTTATTTGCTTTTAGCTGGCGACACGAGTCAGTTAGCTTGTTAGAATTATCTGGCAGCAAGCTTTCCTATAGTCGTTCATGGGCTGAAACATCGCTGTCGGACAGGGTGTCGCGCCCTACTCATCAGTCAAATAAAAAATGGGCCTCCGAAGGCCAAGCTGCACAGGCAGGCTCCCGTTAAGTATAACACTATCTTAACACTAGACAAGCGCCGTTTCCTCGAGAATTGAAGCTTCTATGAAGCCTTCGTTTTTTGCGTCAACAGCTGTTTGTGGGGCGGCTTAAACAACCGATAAACCTGACAAGACCCATGGCATATTCTTGAAAATAGATGAAGAATTGCTAGGACGTAAAGCCAAGCAAGATGATCTCACTTCTGTATAAAGTAAAACGTTTAGCGGATAAGTGTTTGTCCTAGGCCCGTAATTAACTCGTTTCTAATTTAAATGTATCAGATAGAGTAGCTAAATGAACAGCGTATTGTCACGTACAATAACGTAAAGAGGGTTCATCTATCGTCAGCGGTTTACACTCGAGAGCTTTAGCTTAACTTCTGTGGTTATGTGTCAATAGAATCAATATTGTTCATTATATAGATTCTCCTTTTCTGTGTATAGATATTATACCGCATTTACCACCAGCAATGTATTGCCATTTGTTTGAAAATTGTGTTAGATCGGCTTATGGTGATCGTGTACACCTTGACAATTTCGATAGGCGATCAATTTGGCTGTGCTGTTTTTTCCCTTACTAAGTTATAGGAGAGCACATGCATTCGTCATGACAATGATGATAACATATCATTTTTTTTTTTTAGTTTAATATATCATGAGATTGATGCTCTGGATCCGTGTTTTGGCTACTATCAGGCAAAATATAAAGTACCCTCGATTAAAACTAATTACGACGTTTTCTTTTTAAAATGACGATACCATTATGGCCGTTACCGCTATCTGCATTATTTTTCTTCGCTGCGAAGAAATCTTCTATTGCTGATGCCGGCTTTATTTACACGTTTACTACAGGCAATAGCGCAAGTATAGTGATCCACAACATTAGCTACTACCTGGTAATAGGTATTACCACTTCGTTGCCGTTATAACTCGAAATGCAAAATGGATGATCCGCCTATTATTTGTGAACCAAATTTTCTGGTTACGCCCGAATCCAGACATTAAAGGGGACGATATCCTGGGCACCTTTCTACTACAAATAGAACCAAATACTAGGCGGTATCCTTTTGCGGCAGCAGCAGAAGCGCCGCTAAAGGGTTGATACAAATCTATCCATACGCCGTGAATGGCTGACGACGTTTCGCTTTTATTTAGATGCTGTTTTTTGTCGTCCGCTGTTTGGTGCAAAAGAAATGATTGACGAAAGGACTCTTGTACTAAATATAGGTACACTATCACAGCACACAGGTAGCATTGAAAATGCTTGTCATGAAGGATGTGCAAATAGAGCATATTGGTACTGAAACGCTATGCACCGCGTTCACTTGTGAAATTTATTTCGAAAAGTAGCAATACTGATATATTTTATATTTGTCCTCATGTCCTATTAACTAGGTCCAGTTTGTACGTATCTGTAGGCTGTAAGAAGGATCAAATTGTTCATCTAAACGGTGCTTGGAGAGCCCGTTTCTGCTCTGATATATACGTATATATGATTTTACAAGCAATTGTAAATCTATGCCATTGCGAAAGTTGTAGTATGAAATCAAAGCGTAAAATCTTATGCGTCAATAAAAGACAAGAGTAACCAAACAGAAATCGGTCGCATTACGTTAAATAAGAGCTTATGGGCTTGAAGCAGCTGGCAACTAAAACTGTTCCCTATGGAAAAGCGGTGCAGAAGAAAATATTAGCCCACAATTCAACGTAGTAATCATTCTACGTTACGATTTTGTTGTCTCGATATACTTGGTCGTATCATTTACGTAAGTTCTATATTCATTGTTCATATGCGCCCACAATGGGCACGCACTGCTGTTCTGGCCATCGCAAGCAACGGAAGCCTATTTACATATTCAGATTTTTTGCACTCGTGGCGCTTGTCTTAGGCCTTGCAAGCTTTTCGATAAATAATTCAAATTCTTCGTCAGTTGGCCTTAAAGTATCATTTGCAATTAATGTGAACAGGCATCTATCGCCATTGAGATCAGTATACTTTCGAATCTCTTTTAGAACTGGTTGTTCGACCATTTATACCCTAGTGATGGCACTGCATCGAATGAGGAGTGGGCCGAAGCGTGGAAGTGATTAAGCTTCGCACTAAGCAATTCCCTTGAGATCATAATACTGAAGATGCATCGTATGAGTTTCTAGTCGCAGCTCGTGCCAAACTGCTTTGCCCAACCGTCGAAGACACTCCTGCTCTGCTCCGAATAATTTCATTTGGTTCTGTATGCTCCGTTACCCTACTTAGACTCCTGGGATAGCCGGTAGGATATAAGGCGTTACAGGCAGCACATCGAAAAGCACTGGCAGTATCGACAAACGACCTCTATCAACCTTAACGAAACAATGGGTCCGACGTCGCGGACACTTATCGTTCTGCGCAAAACAAGCATAACCAACGAAGGAGCAGTAGATTTTATCGGCAATGAAAAGC